ATCTTTCTTCTATCATTGACAGTCCCTCTAGGTTGTGGGCTGCTTGCCTGTGTTCCTGAGAAGCATCTACGGTACCAGTCTATAGAGTGTGTTTTCTTTAGTGAATTACCGGTATGTTTACCGGTAATAAACTTGCACTGTTTTATGTATATGTTTGATTACATACAGCCTTGTGACAGTTTTCCTGCATGTCATAAGCATTTGAATATAAATTAAAATGTTAAAATCAAATCTGATATTGTTTTACCTTTTATTTGGTGTGTGGAAGGTGTGCGGAAGAGGGGATAGTCTTATACGGCGAATATATAACAAACTCTGTATTTTGAGTGGAAATGTTAGGGGGTCGTCTTATACGCCGGCAAATACGGTAGTTGGGCCAGGTGTAGAGGGGCTTGAGAACCAAGCCAAGGAGTGAGGCTTCGCCTTTGTGAATAGAGCAGCAATTCTCAAATTTTTATGTGCACACAACTCACCTGGGGATCTTGTTACAGTAGACCTGGGGTGGGACCTGAGATTCTCTATTTCCAGCATCCCAGGTGGTGCTGATATTGGAAGACCAAACCTTGAGTATCAAGACCATAGATACACAGACAGTGCAGAGCCGCTGCACAGAGAAACTGCCTGATCTCCAGTGTGTTCCAGGAAAACTGAATCTGAAAACAGTGGGTCAGGCCGATTGGAAAGGAGAGAAGCTATAAACTGTGGCCTTCAGCATTGGCCGTCCGTTAGATCAGCTGGGACGCTTACACCAAGGCCCTACTCACAGAGATTCTTATTTAACTGGTCTGGAGTGGGGCCCAGATTTCAGCATTTTTAAAAGTTCTCCAGGGAATTCTAATGTGCAGTTGGGGCTGAGAACCTTTACTGTAGAGGATACAGTAAATATTGTAATCACTCAGGCAAAGATGATGATTTAAACTAGGGCAATGGCAGTGAGAACAGACTGGAGGGGCCAGTGGTATAAAATTCTATAAATGTAGAAGAAATAGACTTTAGCAACTATGTGGGCAGCAATATAGAAGTATGGCTGCAACATCATTCATTTCTTCTAGTTAAAGACATTTTGGTGAAATGGTTAAGAGTACAGGCTCTAGAACCAGGTGGGCTGGGTTTAAATTCCAGCTCTATTTATTAGGGGTGTGTGTGTATGTGTGTATACACTGGCACGTTCCTTAACCTTTTTATGACTTAATTTTCTCACCCATAAATTGGGGAAATACCAATAACCAACATATGGAGTTGTTGTGGAGATTAAGTGAATTAACATATATGTAAAGCCTTTAGAACCATGCTTGGCACATAGGAAGAGCTATGAAAGTGTTTGTTGTTATTATTAGCAGTAGAGGCCTGATGCACGAAATTCGTGCAAGAGTAGGCCTTCCTTCCCCTGGCTGCCAGAACCAGCTTCCCTCTAGCCCTGGCTTCTCCAGAAGGTTGTCTGGAAGGACATCTGATCTAATTAGCATATTATGCTTTTATTATTATAAATGGTTCATCATCTATTTTGATCTCTCCAAGGTGTTGAGCTGCATATAAGGCTGATCTGGAAGAGGAGAAGTCCTTGAAGGCTCTCAACTCTCAGCCAATTTGAAGTCATAGGGTTACCTGTTTCATAAATCCAATTGGATCTAGGTGGCATACCCTGCCTCCCTCCATCCCAGACCCCATTCCCAAGGTCTCTAAAAGTAATAGCCAAGGAGTTCCTACTTGAATTGCTGGTCCTTGGTGCTCCGTGTCTTGGCCAGGAAGCGCTCTGCCAGCTTTTCCAGGTTGCGGGAGTAGTCCATCTCAATCTCAGCCTTCTTTCGGAAGAAGTCCTGGAGGTCCTGCAACAGCTGCACCCGGAGCTCACACTGCTGGTCCAGGCATTTCATCTGCTCTGTGAGCTGAGCGCGGATCTCTGCAACAACAAAAGACAAGAGTCATACAGAGATCCTTAAAGGGAACCATGCAGGCCAACATTTATACCCCTTCCTTTCACTTGATCCCTGTCCTGGGGGGTAAGGGAGGGAGGAAGGAGAAGGAGAAGGAGGAGGAGGAGGAGGAAACTTGAAAAACACTGGAACCAAAAATCTGCTGAATCATTTAAGACAATGTGATTATTAGACATAATGATATTCACAGCTACCATTTATTGAACAATTTACTGTGTTTCTGGCAATGCCAGAATTTGGGTTCTCTTCTGGCAAAGAGCCTAATGAATTTTCTCCCAACCATTCTGTTGGGTAGGTACTACTTTCATCCCCATTTTAAGATGAGAAAACTGATTCTTAAAGGAGTTAAGTGATTGATTCAAACCCAGACAGATTGACTTTAGATCCCAAGCTCCTACTTGTTATACTTTCTCTGCATCTTTGTGAATTAGGGTGAGAGTCAGGATATTTTAATGGAGACAGAAAGGGCCCTGCCCAAGGTCAGACAGTGGCAATCAAGAATGAAACAAGCACCGGGTCTTCTAGGCAAGGAAACCATCTCCTGTCAAGCAGATTCCATGGTTTCCAAGATCGCAGAATGTAAATCAGCCTTCAAGAAGCTGATATTTTTCACCAACGAATATCACTCATATCTCTGCTGCTTCGCCCCCACTGATGCTCAGAACTCCTGCTTCATCAAAGCTAGAGATATTCTGGGTAAGCTCCAGCTTGGCAGATTTCTGGCTGGCCAGGGTCCTCGTACAGGGCTAACAACACCCTCTCTGGAACTGCAGCAATGACTGCTCCAGCTGCAACCAGATCTGCCTCAAATGCAATACTGCATTTGTTACTGACAGGAGCCCTGGCACCCAAAGGAAGCAGCTTGCCAAAACCAGACTGCTTGTCAGCTCAGAGAAGGCCTGCAGTGCGGATCAAAATTATGTCCCCATCCCCATCTGTGTAACCATGGAGCCATTTCTTTCATCCCTTTGCCCTCCAAGCCTGCTCAGCTCAGTGCATTAGGATGTGACTGTCACTCCAACCCCAGGATAAAAGAGAACCCATATCATTATGCCTTCCTTATAGATGCTCCAAATTCATTCCCAGATAGTCGAGCTGTAACCATGCTTTCTGTCTATGCTGTGTAATGCATGGAGCAGGGGGATCTATAGTTTTCATCTGAGCAGTGGATACATGAGAGGCAAATCTAGCATCAGGGCTATGATGTTGAAAGGTACACCAAGCACTCCTTTAATGAAGCAATGAGGAATGGGTAAATGGTGCATTTAGCTTTCCCTGAAGTAGACAGAGGTTCATAATCTATCCCCATCTTCCTTTTGTTACTCTTTTCATAGATAGTAGGATGTAGCAAAAGTATCTGATCCTTTATGGGTCATCTTAGGTGACCTGTAAGTGCCATTCTCACCCTCTTCGTCCACACGCCTCCCCCTTGCCAACCACCATGCCAACCAGGTCTGGAGTAACCTCACCTGAACTGAAACCGAGCACCGTAGGATTGTTTCAAGCAGACAGAAAGCTGTGCAGAAAAGCCACGTACCTCATCACTCATCAAAGCTCTCTTGTTCTGTGTTTTTATGGGAGTCTGATTACAAGGGTGTCGGCGGGGGGGAGGG